GCTTTTTTTTATATAAAAAAAAAAAACAAATATATTTAACTTCTTATATTTCCTTGTGGTCCTGCAAATTCATTTTCTATTAAATTATGTCAATCATGTAAGTGTAATAAATTGTTAATTTAAAAAAAAAATTGTTACTTTAACAACAACAACTAGTATTTGATCATGTGCATTTGCACAGATATAAAATATGTTTTTGTTTGAATTTATTAATTAGACATGTACTTCTATCATATAAAGATTATTACTTTTTCTTAAGTTATTTTTATCATTCAAAATTAATTGAGATTTAAATTTTATTTTAACCATGCAACGTTTAAATTAATAACATGAATAAAATAATTTATATATTTGTGGCATATATTAAAAAAAATAACATAAATTAAAAAAAAATTATTGGTGTTTCTAATTTTTAGAAAAAAAGACGTGCCAATCATATTTTACTGCCAACAATGCAACCAAATGTAACAGTTACAGTTCTGAATGTGCTAATCAACTTTAACTTCCAACATTATTCATTACACATTTGAATATTTTGTTACCAAAATGTAGAATTAATTTAGTAACGGATCTAAAAACTAAATAATAAAAATATATATATTAACGTGTAACGGTTTTAGCAGATTGTGAGTAATTAATTAAAAAAAAAAATATAACTCATATTTGAAGGGAAATGAAAATAGGTTTTATTAAATGTTTTATTAAATGCAATAACTAGTAATTATATATATATAGATAATGATGATAATATGAAAGAGTTAGGGGTGATTGTTTACAAAATAATTTACTCACTTTTATTTCAACTCAAAATTTAACTCAACTTTAACTCAACTTAACTATCTTTAATATTATTCGTATAATTAAATAATAAAAACCAATCATTCTTACACATCACATCAACTTTATTTTACTATTCATCCACTCACATAATTTTAACTACCTATCATTTCCAATCATTTTTAATCATTTATCTCTTACTTTTCCATCAAATCAATTTTAATCATTTTATTTTAAATATTATTTTAATACATTCTTAAAATTCCACTACAACTAACCATACCACTTTTTTCAAAATTAACTATAGTTAACCAAAATAACTCAATTTGAACAAATTATTTCATAAACAATCGAGCCCTTGATAATCTACGTTATAAATTTACCAAATCATATAATGATAGGATGTGAAATTTTGGATTGCTATTTTGGCAATAGTATAATTATTAGTAGAATCCGAATTATTGATTTTGACAATGTTATATGGATAATGACTTTAAGAATAATGTTTCCCTAGTCACGGTGACCACATGTTAATATGTCACCGCTTATGTGACATGCACACATTGGTGATGTTAATATATTCAAAAAAAATACATCACCAATGTGTTCATGCCACATAAACGGTGGACATAACATGTGTTCACTGTGCACGGTAGGGAAGCATTAGTGACTACTATAAATAAACTATTGTATAGGCCATTTAGTCATTGTAACACGATTAATTCTAATATAAAATCAACCTATGAAAATGAAATTGTTTCTCTCTCTTTTTTTTTTCCCCTTTTATCTTTTCATTAGATGCTAGTGGATATATAGGCCCTTTGAATTAATAGCAAAAATCTAATGATGTACTCTATTCTACTAGTAAACATAATAAGTTGATTATCAAATGTTGCTAGCAAAAAAAAAATCAAATCTTTAATTAGATACCTATGCGTACAAAATTTTGAATTATGTATCAAAATATCAAGAAAATATCGAGAAAATAATTCCCTTTCAATAAATTCACGATTTGAAAATAATTTTATTCTGCTAAAAAAAAAATAATTTTATTTTTCTATTGATGTTTTTAAAGGGCATTTAGATATTATTAATTTGACAGGTACTAAAACGTACTATTAAACTACATAAAAACATAAGACAACCTGTTTAAATGTTAAATTACTAGGGTTGAGAGAACCTTTGTTTTATCTTTTAAGGAATCTCTGAAGATGTAAAACCTATTCAATTATTCAGCTAAATAAAGAAAGGCCTCTTCACAAATTTCAAGTCAACGACGACAACAATTAGCTGGAATGTTTGACTTTGTGGCACAAAGGTGGAGCAGTGATAGTGAGAGAATAATATTGAAAAAAAAAAA